GGGGAAAAAATGGATACAGGAAATTACAGACCTATCAGCCTGACCTCAATACCTGAGGAGATTTTGGAAAAGATAATCAAACAACGAATCAGTGAACACTTAGAGGCAAAGTCATTACTAAAAGCCAACACGGGTTTGTCAAAAACAGATCATGCCAGACAAATCTTATTGCATTCTTTGACCAAGTGACAAAATTAGTGGATCAAAGGAATGCTGTGGATATAATTTACTTGGATTCTACTAAGGCATTTGATAAAGTAGATCACAACCTACTACTTGATAAGATAGAAAAATGTGGGTTAGACAGCATCACCACCAGATGGATTCGTAGCTGACTGACGATACTCACCGTGTGGTCCTCAAAGGAACCGCATCTACATGGAGGGAAGTGTGTAGTGGGGTGTCCCAGGACCCTGTTCTGGGCCCAGTGCTCTCTTCAACATTTTCATCAACGATTTGGACGAGGGGATAGATGGGGAACTCATTAAATTTGCAGATGACACTAAGCTGGCAGGAATAGCCAACACTCCAGAAGACAGGCTTAAGATACAGAAGGATCTGGGCAGACTTGAACACTGGGCGCTATCTAACAAAATGAAATTCAATGGTGAAAAAAGTAAGGTTATACATTTAGGCAAGAAAAACCAAATGTACAGGTACAGTATAGGGGATACCTTGCTCAATAGTAGCAACTGTGAGAGGGATCTCGGAGTCCTAGTGGACAATCACTTAAATATGAGCCAGCAGTGTGCTGCAGTTGTCAAAAAAGCCAACACAGTGCTAGGCTGCATTAACAGAGGGATAGAATCAAGATCACATGAAGTATTAATACTTTCCCCCCCTTTTTCCTCCCCACTGTGTCCTACTATTTGCTTTTGTATTTTGTTCTATAATCTAATAAAATATTACAAATTGTAGAAAAAAGGAAAAAAAGTACCAGTTTTAATTTCTTCAATGACTGTTTCTTTGCTGAATCACTTTCCCTTTGCACTGACAAATGTATGATAAATTTATCCATGTTTATTAATAGGCACCACTACCAGCTAGCTCAGAGGTCTTCAAACTTGGCACTTTTAAGACTTGTGGACTTCAACTCCCAGAATTCCTCAGCCCTCATGGCTGGTTGAGGAATTCTGGGAGTTGAAGTCCACAGGTTTAAAGTTGCTAAGTTTGTAGACCCCTGAGCTAGCTGGTTGGCCCTTCTTCCTCTCTCCCTTCTGAGCATTTTCCACAGTGTGGTAACATACACACCCAATCCCTTCCCTGTACCCTTAAAGACACAGGAATCAAGTGCAAGGCAAAAAGGCTCACAAAATAAAGAAACACATAAACTCCATTTTTTTTTCTTTAAGCCGTCTCAGGGTGTGACGTGTCACAATGTTGCAATCCGAGACTGAAAGGCTCCAGCAATTGCGAAAAGCATTAAATTAAGCCTATTTACCTTCAAAGAAAACTTTCTAAAAGCCATAGACAGACTCAATTAAGGGGGGTAAAACTAATTACATTTGTTTAAAGGGATTAAACCCTTCCCTGTTGTCTTTTTTTCCCTTTCCCGCCAATCAGCTGGAGCAATCAGCTGGAGCCCTGCCGCTCCTGAGGCTTCTGCCTAGCCCAGACAGTCCTGCAGCTGCAACTGCCTCTGCCTCAGGCTTGGGTCGCTTCAGCTCATTCCCCTCCCCTGCTACACTTCTCTAGGACGGTCGCGTACCACCTGCCACATGGCAAAGTACCACAGGTGGTACACTACCACGGGTTGAAAACCCCTGCTTTACAGAACTTAAGTAGGGCAACCAGGTCTGGATTGCAAATATCTG